CTTTAGATTACTCTTAACTGGGTCGTTTCGCCGTTAACCTCCTGAGTGTTTCGAATCTTATTGGGTATGTGAGTTTCTATCTCTTGACAGAAAAAAAAAAAAAAAAAATCAACATCCCAAGTTTCCAGATATGAAAGATTTTTTTGGCCTGGTATAAACAACTTTGACATTTGCCATAATACCGAACCGGTTCTTTCCCTTGTGTTTGAAGGACCTAGAGGCGTGACTGGCGAGTGAGCTTTAAAATCAACTAGTAGTAGGTACATAAACAGGATATTACTATGAGTTTGTTTGGATAAGAGTTTATTTGGATGATTTATTTGAGATATTTACTGTAGCACTTTTGTGATGTGATTTATGTGAGATAAAAAGGTGGTTGGGAAGATAAAAAGGTGATTGGGATTTGTGAGGCCAAATTTTTTTTTCCAAATTTCCTTTGTCCAAACAAACTCTATGTAATTGATACTCGCCCTTTCCTTGCTTGAAAAAATTTTAAAAAAATATATATACGTAGTTGATACTCCGGTTGTTGTAGTGGGAATCCAATTAAGTAAGAATCAACAAAAAAGTTCCACTAAAAAAAATGCTTGATGGGTATCCTTAAAGGTAGCAAACCTGCACCCAATAACTGAAATGCATGGGGATACTGCTAGTCTATTTCCTTTAATTCGGTGGCTTCCACCATATCTTGTAGGGGGATTTTCTTAGCCGGAGCTGATGACCATTAACAAGGGTACTACTACGGACTTAGTGTAAACAGAGCACGTGCTTTAGGCATCTTCCGTAAGAAGCTTCGATTACTCTAATATTGTGGTCATATACCAATATTAAGAATGTTTTCCTTCATACAAAATAATGTGTAAAACCAATCAATACGTGGTCAATATATATATATCAATGCCTAACTAGCTTGATATATATATATATACTTCAACGGCCCCCAGCCAGGCACCCACCACCGCTCCTCATCAAATCGGGTAATCGTAGACGCGAATCAATGGATGATGGCACTCCTATTTAATTATTTATGTTGGATAAACTATGAAGAAAATTGAGGATTGTTTTGTTTTCAGGCAAATGACAAAAAGAGGGAACGGGGAGAGTAAGTGAGTAATGAGTGGGCATGCGTGTAGGAGGATTAATGATGATTGAAGGCATGAAGGATGATTTTTGGGATACAGGAGAGGGAGAGGGTTTTTAGTAAGTGGGGTTTCCCTGTGTTCATGTTCTCCTTGGCGCTTTTTTTTTTTTTTTTTTTTTTGGGTGGATGACCACTTCGCATCCTTCTCTCCTTTTTTGGTCATTAGGTTCGGTTCGCTGGCCCCTTTCCTTTTTGTCCTTTTCGTTGGCTCTTTCTTTCTTTTCGAGTCCCCTTCAATAATTTCTTTTTACTACTACCATCCCCCCCCCCCCCTTTTTTGAGCTTTTACGTTTATATTTTTACTCTCCTTCATTTTGTTTTTGGAATGTTTTTCAAATACAATAAAAATTTTTAAAAAATATTTTAAAAAGTAATCTAAAAATTAGTTTAAATTTTTAAAAATTTAAAAAAAAAAATTAAAAAATATCTCAAAATATATTTTAGAAACTCTTCTACTCTTAAATATCTTAAAATATTTTTTAAAAATATTTCAAAACATACTCTAAAAACTCTGCTACAGCATAAATTTTCAAAAATATCCAAAAAAAAAAAACTAATCCAAACGAAAGCAGAGGAACAAAAGGAAAGTGTTTCGGTTTATTAGTCACTTTACCTTCTTGTTTTATTTGTTTACTTTTTTGGGGAGGGGGTTACAAGTCACTTTTCCTTTTTGTCAAAGCATCCCAACCAAATTACTCTCAGTTGGATTGATTGTACTTGTACGGAACAGAGATTAGGCCGCTGCTTCCTGCCCTTTTTGGTCTCAGGCTGGGCCAGCCTGCTCTGCTCGTGTGTCATGTATGTTTGTCTGTGCATCTTCTCCACTATGTCTCTTGCATACCCAGCGATCAAACTTTCTGGGACGTCAGATCCAGCTGCCTGTTTTCTGATCAAATTTGGACTCCTGGCGGTGGTCTTTTTTCATTTTTCTTCTTTTTTTTTTTCTTCAAAATTTACCTTTTACCCTTCTTTTTCAGTGAGTGAAGTGGCTTTTATACTTGTATCACTTAAATCCCACAGAATTTCGGCATCTTTGTTAATTTAGTAGCAACATGTTTGGATTGCATTTTTCATGGAAAAATTACTGTAGCGATTTGATGTATGTGAGGAAAAAAGGTAATGGGGAAATGTGATCACGGAAAATAACGTAATTTTCCGATGAAAAATCGCAATCCAAACAAGGAAAATTTCACGCGACGTTATTGCAGTAGATTTAGCTTGTTTAGATAGTAGATTATGGGGGGATAATCTTTTTGAAAATAAAGTATAGTAACACTTTTTTGATACAATAAATATAAAATAAGAAATTGATTGAAAAATCTGTTGACGATTCAAATAAATAAAATTGAATAAATAATCTACTGTCCAAACAAAATTAAATTTGGACAAATGGTGCGTCAATTATTATATAGCAGACAGAATTACCGAATGGATTCAAAGGACAATTATTACGTGTTTCTGCTGTCGCACGACTAAAAGTTTTTCATTTCTGCTTTTGTGGCCAGATACGTTAGCATGATCTTAGTTTCAACAATCAAAAGTTTGTGGCATGATAATGCGCCAGTTCATCACTACGACTAAAGCATAATAATGCTCTAAAGTTTTTTACTCAATTTCGTAGACATTAGATTTTCTTCAAGAAAACATAACATAAACAGAAGAAGTGGTTTGTTGACGCGAGACCGGAAATCATATGTTTGTCCAAATATTGGCATCGTTGCGGTTTGCCTTTAGCCAGTTGGAGTTACGGCACATTTTCTCTTTTTTTTTTTGGATTATATTTTCAACCCTTAGTACAAAAGAGGTAAAATAGGACCACCTAATATCCAAAAACAAAATACATACATGCACACGCATACATACTAGCCGCGTGTAATTGACGATTTAGACTAATGGTCAGAGTTATGTGAGTCAGAATTATGGAGGTAGATTTGGCGATTGACACCAGAAACTCAAATAATTGTGTCACTAATTAATCTATTCTCTCCATGGTATCCGTCTGGTCCCATAGGTCCAGTTGGGTCTCCCTATAATTAGATTAGGATAGAGTAGGAGTAAGAGTAGGGATGACGATTGACAAAAAAAAATCTATTCTCTCTCCCCCTCCCCTCTTTTTTTATTTTATATCTGAACCAATGTATTCAATCAGTCACACAGCCAGACATGGAATACAATGGTTGGCGCTCGAGAACGAGTCGAGTTCTTCAGCTATATCATATGAATTGAATTGACTAAGTGGTAAAACAAGCTTTCATTGATTTGTTTATGTTCGTCCTTCGTGTGTTCGTAAATACATTAGTTAGAAAAGAAAAAAGTATTTCGATACCGTCTCCGGTTGTTTGGTCACTAATTGATTAAATGGTCAAGTATGCGTAATTGCTTCATCAAAAGTGATTACCAATATTATGTGTTCTTGAAAAGTCGGATGACTGGTCAGACATAATTGCCAGGGATGGATTATTGTCAAGTAATATGTGAGAATAATTCCTCGAATTTTATGCACAGCTGAAGATTCTTTCTGGGCTAAGGTCCTAAGTAAGAAAGCTAGTATATATATATATATTTTTTAGGTATAATTCACAGGTGTCCGTATCCATTTGCGACTAATCTTGTTTGAACCGGATCGGACCCCTTCTTGTAGGGAGAAGTTCTCTCAAAATTATTTTTTTCATTCCCATGAATTTTGAACCCGAGACCTAAGTAAGAAAGCTAGTACGAGTCTAGTAAAAGGTGATTCAAAATCCCGATGATGAAATATTTAAAAGCCGAAGACCCACCACCCACCCTGTATTTGTAGCTCAAGATGTTGATCACCACCGCCACCACCACTTTTCAAAGGAGAAATCCGCATCTAAAAGCGCTGCCGGTGCTCCACCAATAAACAATCACACTTCTAACGTCAACCTCTCCATCAAGCAAGCAGTCGTATAATAATAGACATTTTTATTATTAGTTCATTGTCAATGTAACAAAATCACATCTGGTATCCATTGGTCATATCCATTGTCAAACACCACCACCCATCACACCCTCTCCCGAAAAAAAAAAAGAAAAAAAAAGAAAGATGATGATGATGATTATCGGGTTAGTTAAAATGTAAGATCAAATAATGATGGGACCAAAGGCGTAAAAGTCGAAAAGGCTGGCGGGCTTCATTTTCATGGTCATGACTCATGACTAAAATAGCTAGTACAGTGGAGTGAGATGGGAGAGTGGACTGGGGATTGATAGGAAAACATAATAGACTTTGAGGTTGTTTTCCCTGAATAGTTGGTAAAAGTGGGGTTCAGCATGTGCAAATGCATTATTGGGGTGTTTGAATCTGGCAGCTGCCTCTAAATAGCATCGCATCTGATGTCAAAATCTTCCACTAAAATTGTAAACCTATTGGGCCCAGTAAAGGAAGGACTCGAGAATCAATCCCAACAAAAAGGGCCGAAACCACTTTGTTTCTTTTCGCTTTTCTCTTCCTCCGTATGTCAATATCAATATCAATATGGATGCTCTACTCCTAAAAATAAATAAATTTCTTTTGTACCACTAGCTGCCTCCTCTACTCCCTCAACCTCTCAGATTTTTCTTTTTTCTTTTGAATCTTATGAACCCCCCCCCCCCACCACCCACCCACAACAAAAAAAAAAAAAAAAAGGAGATAACTACGTACAAATATTCTCACTCTCGAATGTGACATGAATCAAGTGAAAACCAAACGAAGAAGAAAGGAAAAAACTTTCGGATAAACAAAACATTATCAACAGGAGCAGGAGCAGCCAGAGTCATCCGAAAACATTCATCTACTACTTACTAGTCATGCATTTCAATTTTCAACCATCCATCTTAAAGTTTTTTTTTTTTTTCCCCTTTTAAGTTAAATATTCCCAATCAACAAAGAGCAGGTGCAGTATCCACACTTCGAGGGTTCGATGCATGCGTTTCTGAGGTAGCAGTGGGCTACAAGTGCAAAATGAGGGCAGAAAGGCAATGATATTACGCTTTGCAGAAAGGGTCGGTACTGGAAAAGAACTCGTCAATGATCCGGGCTTCATAAAGTGCCTTCATGGATACAGATTTTGGTCATCACGGACCAGTGCGCGTGGTGGTTGGGAGGGGCCAAGGTTGCAGAATAGCAGGAGCAGAAGCAGAAGCATTTTCTTCTGATTGTGTCAGTTGCTAAGTAAAGGGGGAGACATTCAAATAACAAGTAGACTCAGTACTCAAAAACACTCTGCTAATTAGTCCGCCCTTGCTGCTTGGTTACCTACCAGGATTGGACTTTGGAGCCCCGGCATTCATTCATGGAACATTTCAGTCTCAGTTCCCCGACAATCTCAGGCTTCTATTCCAGTAGTTGTCTCTTATGGACTAGAGTTAAAAAGTTACATACATGTTCCAACTCGGACTCTGCTGCGCTTGATGTTTAAAAGAATATTTCAAAGCAAAAGACAGCATTGCATTGCATCCTCATTGCCCGAAAACTTCTTCCTAATCATGCTTAAGTCTGGATTAGTGGTTTAATTTCGGCATTGTTATTGCTATTGAATATTATGTTCTCGTGGAATTTACTTGACAAGAAGCACGATGATGTAACTAAAGTTGCATATATATAGATAGATAGACAGGCATTTATAGTGGATGTTCTGCTAATTTGTCACCAAGACTGTTTTTTTTTTTCGTGGTTTTGGGAGGGGGATGATAAGAAAGAAAGAGAAATTACATAAATTAAACAGCAGTTAAGTCATCAAGACTGGTGAAGAGGGAAGAAAGTCACAATTATTCAACCACAACATACCAGAAAGCATTTATAACAAAACCATATAGCCTTCAGTCAAACATCTACAAGTTTGACTGAGCTCTCTGTCTGAGCTTTCTTCTCAGAATCTTCCCTGAGGCTGACTTGGGAATGCTTCGAGAGAAAATCACTCTATGCAATCTCTTATATGGTGTAACCTGCAAGAGTGTTAAGAGTGTAACTGATCAATATCTAGAGGTGTGTTTAATTACAATGCAGCAACAAACCAGTGAGCAAATTAAAGTGGCATGTTATCAGCTTAATAATGCTCTAGAGCTGCCTTGCCTGTTTTGCAACGAAATTTTGAACTTCCCTTTCGGTTAGAGAGCTATTAGATGAACGAACAACAAATGCTACAGGGATTTCCCCAGCTTCGGCATCTGGGAGCCTGCAAAGGAGAATTGCCTGTAAGCTCAAGAGAACACATTTATCTTTCAGAAGTTATATATCTTAATGAAGAGACTCACGGTATAACGGCAGCATCTGATATCTCAGGGTGAGTTAGCAGAAGCTCTTCAAGTTCTGCTGGTGCCACCTGAGTAAAACGTAGCAAATGGACATTATTTATAAGGAAAATCTGATGAAATTACGGTATAACGGTCTCAATGAGAAACAAAGAATTCAACTGAGTATTAACCACTGCTAGGCTTCTTCCGGATCTTGCAAGAATGCATGTAAAAACTCATTCATTCAAGAGGGCCGATTTCAAGGTTTCAGTCAGTGAACTGGGCCGATTTTGTTGAAGCTTTATATGTAGAACATCATTCATAACTACTAAAAACATGATCTAACAGCAATACTCCTTGGCGATTGTAAGTTGAGTATAACACAAACATGGGTCCAATTAATGACACGAGTTAAATAATAAACCTGGAAGCCTTTATACTTGATAAGCTCTTTGATCCTGTCCACGACATATAATAGTCCTTTGTCATCAAAATAGCCAAGATCTCCAGTGTGCACCCAGCCCTGCTTATCTATGGTTTCATTTGTGGCTATTTGATTTTTGAAATAACCTATGCAAAGACAAGTTAATAACTTTAGTAATTGAACTGTCCATGGACAAGGAGTAAGAAATCCAAATGGAGATAAATACCCAAAGCATGTTTTAAATTTAGTCGAGGTTATGCACTTACACTACCAGCAATCTTTTTGGAGTTATAATCAAATGCAAAATCAAGAAGCGGATACTATAGGTTAAAATCGTTTTCTGTGAGGTTTGAGTGCTGTCGAGAATTAGCCCATTAATAATTTAGTCTGAGACCTGATAGAGTGGGATATTGGGACCTTTCAAGTGCTTGGGGACTTCATCTTCTTTCTTATGGTTCTACTGCTTATTGGTTCAAGTTTTACCTCTAGCTTTCTGGATAATAAGTTAAAGCAATTTCACTGATCCGGAAGATCTGTGAGCAGCAATACGTAACATTTCCTGTTTATCGTTAGCATTAATTTCTGCTTATAACGACAAGTTCCACGGACAAAATCCCAGCAGATTGAGCACAAAAGCTACAAATTTGAGGATAGCTGCAGCAAGTCTAATCTGGTGAACTGGAGGCTATATATTGTCGTAAAGCAGTTCTGAATTCTCAATCACTAGCATGTCATTCCAGAAACAAGGAATATCTGGAGGACAGCCATAAGCGCTATATCTAATGCCAAATCCATTATACAACTCAGTTAAAAGACCATTTTGCAAAAACACCATATAGTTCAAGAACACTAACTAATATCTGCAATGGTTTAAGCAAGCAAAAATATAATACCCAAACTGGACAACAAAACGGAGTTACACATTCTTTTTATAATCTGCTGTGACCAGAGTTTCACCTTTGAATGTAAAGTCTACCTTGCATCATATTCTGTCCACGAACCAAAATCTGCCCCTTTTGGAAAGGTGGAAGAGGTTCTGCAGTATCCACATCCAGTATTTTGCATTCCACTGCAGGAACAAGAACTCCAGTTGAACCAGAATGGGGAGGTCCTGTCTTTACATCCTCTCTTGAAATAATTCCACATGTTTCCGTCATCCCATAGCCCTGCCAGACGTTAACATTTCTACCGTGTTTCAGGTCCACTTACTAAATACTTAAGTTTGCTGAATCTTGGCATGCGAATTACTAATCATTACCTATTGCTCAAGACAAAGAAATTAGAATTTCTGGTTCTTATGAGTAGTAAGTAGTAATTCAATGCCAGTTCAAAACGTTAGCAGAGTGACTCATAGTCCAAGTTAGAAAGGTTTTTGAACCGAACTCCTAAAAAAATCACCTGAACAATCACAGCTTGAGGGAAATTCTTGGCACATTCCTCAATCACATCTTTCCCCAAAGGTGCAGCCCCACATGCAATTTCCCTCAATGATGAGCAGTCATACTTACTCACCACCTTTTTCTGCTTCCCCAGAGCTACCACCACTGGTGGCACAGCATACATGTGTGTCACTTTATACTTCTCAACAGCATGCAATGCTTTCTCCATCTCATACCTTTCCATCACTACCACCGTATTCCCTTTCTGCAGCTGTGCATATACAGCCACAGACAATCCAAATATATGAAACATGGGAAGGAAGCATAAATATACGTTCTTGGAGTTACCATAACATTCTTGATCTCGTGTCACCATTGATGCTGTGGCAATGAAGTTTCTGTGTGTCAAAACAACTCCCTTACTTTTACCCGTTGTCCCGGATGAATACAGAAGAGCTGCAACATCAGTTTGTACAGCTGATGACCACGGTGAATCGGACGATGCAGGGGATGTTGAATTAATCAAATCTGAGTAATGACAAAACAGAGTACTGTAAGAATCAGCCGCATCAAATGATCCCTTAGGACTTAGTAGAATACAAGGTAGATTGAAGTGTTTGATCTTGTGATGCAGTTCATTGACAGTGATGATAAGTTTTGGATTGGAGTCATTGACTTGGTTTGATAGCTCATTGATGGTATACAGTGGGTTGACAGTGGTGGCGATGGCACCAATGCCGACAACAGCAAGGAATGATATGGGGAAAAGAACTGAATTTGGGGAGAAAATGAGAACAACATCGTTCTTGTTGATGTTAAGCTTAAGGAGGGCATGCGAGAGCTTGGAAACTTGGGTTAGGAGATCAAAGAAGGTGAAGGATTCAGCAGTGGCGGCATCAATTAGTGCAGTGCTTTGAGAAAGGGATGGGAAGTTCCTGAAGAGAAATGGGACCATAGAGAGGTTGGGGTCTTCTGGAAGGACAACGGGTGGCTTTTGGGACCTGTAGATCCCATCTTTGCCGTAGAATGGCGTTGTCATTGCGGCAGTGATTTGGGATTCTTGAATCTCTAGAGGAAGATGATGATCGGTAATGCTTCACGACTTTGTTCTTGTTATAAATTATTTAGTTAAAAAGACAAGCAACGTATCCACTAAGAAGATTTGATGAAAATGAATAATAACAATAGTAATGATCTGCCTAGTTTTCGCCGATCAAGCTTTGGCTGATCCTGGAAACTGTAAAAGAGGATCCAACAACAAAAGACGAGGGAGAAGAAACTATTCAAGTAATTCCAACTTAAAGAAAGACAAGAGAATGTGAGTCCGAAATTGGATTAGAAAATTTGGTGGCATTACTAATTATTACATTTCGTAAGGACGAATTTAAATCAGTGATAGGGGAAGGAAATTGTGAAGTTCTTTGTTCAGGAATTATGACGAGGGCTGAAGTATTTCACGTTGCAGCCTTCAATTAATCATGCACACTTCGACTCCCAATTAGTTTAGACTTGAGATGGCCAATTTCGTTAGCAAGCAAGGTTCAAGACGAGGGCTCAAAGCTTGCCTACTTCTTGTCAAAAGCTGTAATCACTTTTTGGCCGGGATGCAGGTGGAAGGTGTGGTTTATTAGTAAAAATTTTGAAGTTCATGATTTTGGTGGTATAAACAATCCCTTACATCTAGTTGAAGGAGAGGGAAAGCCTTGCTGCAGGTAGCATAGGTTAGAGACTTTTGAAGGGAGGGAGGGAAAGATTGTCTGAATGTCAAAAGTATACCAAGCTGGAAAGGGCCGTGAATGCATTTAGGGATCAAAACCACGCCTTAAGTGGAACCGACTCTGATTCCTAAAACTGGAGAACTACTGGTAAATGGGAAAAATACAAAAAAAAGAACCTTTTTTTTTTGGATTAATTCCAGTGTACCCCCTCGCGAAATGCTTCTTCCTCACATGCCTCCTTAAATGCAGAATTGGATCGATTCTTTTCTTTTTTTTAAAAAAAATAATAATAATTACCCCTTGTGGTACAATAATTTTCTCTATAATTTTTCCAAATCAGGTATAATTGGGTTAGGCAACCCACCCTTGGGTTGAATTTAGCATATGCAATAATACACATGGTTTCGTGAATTGACAAAATTACTCCCAAGTTCTTAATTGCTGATTTTTTAAACTACTTGCTCTTGATGAAAATTTTACTAAAATAACTTAGTTAATTTTTTAAAATACTTTTCCCAACTGGGGAGATGTGGGATTTCAAAAGTGAAGAAGGGGAAGGAAAATTAGAGCTCAGGACCTCTAAGTTCCATATTGCTAAAAATTCTAACATTGTGTAGCTTTTTGGTTAATCACAATTGAAGTTTATTTTATTATATATTATCTTATGGCTACATTTTTCCGTGTTTTCCTTATAATTGCAAAATGTATCGAAAACATATATAATTTTTGAGGACATTGTATAATATAATTTTATAAGTGGAAAAGTTTCTACAATAACTGTAATTTTCACAATTCATTTTGATTTATTTTATTAGTTTAAAAGCTTGTTCAAAACTATATTGTGAAATTTTATATAGCATGTGAAAGGCTTTTGGCCCTTTATACGCTTCGTTTATATTAGCTATTTTTGGAAGTATTTTTGAAATATTTTACTGTAGCAGTGTATATGAAAAATTTTTATTATAGATGTTTTTTGAAATATTTGATATAGTGTATGGTTAAGTACTTTTTTTTAGTTTTTTTTTGTTTGTGTATTAATGTAACATTGTGTTTAAAAAACTTGTTTTTGAAAAATAGATCAATCTAAACGGATATATATTATGGGAAGGATTTTTTTAGGGTTAGTTAACCAATTCATGTGCGTTGAAATTCAGCCTAAACTTGAGCTATCGACCCAATTATACATGATTGAGAAATTCGTAATAGTACGGTAGATGTATTGATTCAAAAAGGTAATGTGAGAAAGAGACTTTTTGAGGTGGTTTATTAGAATTAGCCCTTTAATCTTATACGGGGACCAACCGTCTTAAACCGGGCTCTCTAAATTGTTCCCACATCCACCCAATGTAAGGAAGGAAAGAAAACCGTCTTCTGGTCCACGTGGCAACCTCACTTCTCGTATGGGATGTGGCGTCAAATTCCCCACCTTTCCCATTCTTCATCCGTCTCCCTCTCTTTCTTCCCCCTCCAGACAAGAAATTCCCAGTTTTTCTGTATCTCTCAATTCCCGACGGGAGAATCCTTCCCTCAGATTCCTCTTCCTTTCCCTCTCTCGGTTTTTTGTTAGTGTGCAGAATGCCCGGCGAGACATCAGTCATCTACTTTTCCACGCTTTCCTCAATTTGTCTCCCCAAAGATACAACTATTCTTGCCTCCTCCTCTTCACTCTCCGCTCTTTCTAAATTCCCATCTTTTAGTAGTAAACAATTACCTCTTCGGTCGTTCCGCTTCGTCCCAAAAGCCTCAGGTTCGGGCCACTTTCTAGGCGATGACGCCTTTGGACACTATCCCTGGGAATCCTCCTCTGATTCTGGCGACTCATGTACGTTCTTTTTTTATATATAATTTTTTTTCCACCGGTCTGTTATTTTGTAATGTGTTGTACCCCTGCAACTTTTCATCTTGAATTATGGAATAGTTTGATTCTTTATCGGATCATAAAAACCCACTTTCTGCTAGTTCCGTTGTCCTTAGCGGGTCGTCGCAATAATATAAATGTGATTTCTCGAATCTATTTTTATTAGCCATTTCTTTTCTTTTATGCGTGTTCTTGATTTTATCAATACATCAATTAATAGTTTCTTCTTGGTCAGAAATGAAGGCAAAAGGTGAAATTTTTTGTGCCTGTAACATCTATCATATGAGTTAGTTGGAAGTAGAATCATTTGTTTGGCTAGTTGCTGTGCCTGGAATAAGATCAGATTTAGGTTATGTGCCCAATCTACACTCCAGAACTCGAACACATCGACCATGAAAACTATACTATGTTATCTCTGTGGCCTGGCGCTCTGATGCCCTTTGATGGTATGGGACAGGTCCAATTTCTGGTAAACTTTGTTGAATGGAACTCTTTTAAAAAAAAATTCTTTAGTTTGTTTGGATTCTTGTTATCAGCTCTTGAATACGAGGAATGGGAGATGAAAAACTAAGTTACTGGGAGGGACAAAAAAGAAACTTTTGACAGTGGCAAATTGGAGAGACAAATATTACAAATTAGGTGGAGTTACATTTTTATAATGCAAAGCACGTAGATAGGTACTTTTCTATCATGATTTGTTTCTGATTTTTATGGGGCATTTGGCATTAGGGGGGAGCTTTTCTTATTCTGGATTTGCAGGGGACATTTGTTCTTCTGATTGTTGTGGATTTGCTGTTGGAGCATTTGTTTCTTCTGATTGTTGTGAATTTTGTTACAATTGTGGGAGATTTGTTTCTTCTAATTGTTGTGGATTTTGTAAATCTCTTGCTGTGGATTTGCAGCCATTCAATGGGTTCCCGAAGAGAGAGTCACATTATTCACTGCTGATGGGCTTATTCAAATAGGAGGAAATCTGGTGCCACGGCGAATTACTTCCGGTGACGTATGTCAATGCTTTCTGCCTTTCCTGCTTAATTTTTTTTTCTTGGTTAATAAGTGCATGGTATTGTCAGAAACCATGTTAATACCTTTTCTGGTGTGATGTATCTTTTTCTGGAATGTGTTGTCAGAAATACCTTTTCTGGTGTGATGTATCTGTTTCTGGAATGTGTTGCATTATAGTAAAGCTGCCTCTTTGTACTGGCTATCAGTTCACTGCTGAGAAAAAACTGCAGCCCCTTTTTTTTTTTTAATTTATTTGTTAGCCGATTTGGGTTTATGCCACAGTGCATACTACTGTGCCATGAATGTTGATGTGGGAAACTCAAATCAAGCATGGAAAATTTAATAAGAAACTTATTACACTTTGGACTCTCTCTCTTTCTCTGGGCTTGTGCAGCACAAGTATGCATGCTTGAGAAAAAAATCTTTTTGAAAATCGAATTATTTTGCTAATCACATTTATCTCTATGCAGAAGAAGTATGAAAAGATTAAAACATTACAAAGAATCCAACGGTTTCAAGAAAGTGATTATATGGATCCTAGTCAAGGCTTGTGCTTGGGTGCTCTCTTTGATATTGCAGCAACAAATGTATGCAGTCCTCCTGACATTTGACTTGACAACTGTCTGGTACTTTTGTTATCGAATTTAAGGGAATTGAAATTTGGTTGATAATAGGGACTTGACACGGGTAGAAGGCTTTGTATTTTTGGCTTCTGTCGTTCCGTTGAGATGCTCAGTGATGTCGTTGAAGACACTGTGTTGGAGCATGGTGGAGAGGTACTTTTCTTTTCACCTGCAATATCTCATGATGTTTGCAATCTTTAGTGACATATTGTTTAAGGAGCTCCTCTCTTGAGTCTAAGTTTGTATGTTTTGCATTTAAATAAAAAATTTTAGCTTTAATTTTATTATCTTGTGTATCTAATAAAATTCTGTTTGAGATGAGAAAACTTCACACAATCCTTATGTATGCACAAATATGTCATTTTATGAGTTAAAATTTTAATTCTGTGCTTTTGTGGAATATGTCATGGGAATATGAGCTACTTGATTGGTGCATATATTTAGCTGTCTTGTGACTTTTCCAGGTTTCCTTTGGATAGGAATGGTTACAGGAATATTTGATCTATTCTTTTGGTTTCCCAGATTGTTGTTGGCTCTGTCTGGTTGCCGTTTTTTTTTTTTTGGGTAAAGGAAGAATGGGGCGGGGTAGAGTTAATGTACACCAGACTCAGGCAAGTTTGGTTCTTTTGCACTGACCAGCCACTTCCTAGAGAAAATAAGCAATGGAAGTCACTGAAGTATGGCACTTGAGACAATTTACTTGGATTTTAGACATCATTATTCAAGCTAAGGGTTTTGAATGTGAACAAAGTGAGACGAATGTTTGAGAGAGTTATCCCTGAAGATGCACAGAAGCTAATTGTTGACATTTATCTTTTAGTGAAAAGGCATTGCTAGCTATAATAACTGGTGCTTTTGACGTTTTGTGGAGACTTAGATGATGTAAGTTGAGCCATGGTTTGCACTCTTATGGGATAATAGTATCTTAGAATCGGCCTCTCTAAGAACTGCAAGGAAGGTATGTAGCAGAGGTTCCTTATACTGGTCCGGTGTAGTAAGCGATCTATAGTGTTTGCTGTTTGCTCTACTTTGATTTACCCAATGCTAGATCTGTATTTTCTGTAGTTTTCACACTTTGGTTCTGTGTGCCCTCGTGAATATAGAAAGTGACAAGGGAAATTATTTAGACATTAATAAGCTGTGAGCACTATTACTTCACATTTTTTAGCATATTTGGAATAAGCCCAGATGTCTATGCAAAATTTTTTTTTTTTTTTTGAATCTTTTTGAAATGTATCTGTTTTATACACGTTGAAATGGAAATACAGTTTCATCTTCTACGCATTCTAATAGTGTCGAATGCGACATCCAGGTTGTTGCCGCAGAAAAAGCAAGCAAAGGCGGTCTGCATGAAAAGCTAACCATGACTGTTGCTGTACCCCTACTTTGGGGTGTTCCCCCAGCCTCAGAAACACTCCACCTTGCAGTTCGGAGTGGTGGAGGGATTGTGGAGAAGGTATATTGGCAGTGGGACTTTGTGTAGATGAATTACTGGCTCCTCTGACCATTGTTTGTAGTTGTACATAATATCATCTGCTTCTATGTATAGGACAATTCAAGATGTACATTTGATGTCAATATGATTCCCCTCATTGTTTGCAGTGATATTTTTATGTTTGTCAGCGCTTCATTTTGATCCTTCTCAATGCACATCTTGATGATTAAGTTACTCTTATTGCTCTTAACTGAAAATTGCTAATCTGGTGAAGAATTTACATGTATAGATAAAATGAAAAAAGAAAGTCAAGTGGAAGCAAATGAAGCGAAGAGCTCGAGTCCTTGTGTTCTTCCTCCTCGTGTTTTTTGTCGTCGAAAACAAAAAAAATAAAATTAATTGATCAGCAGATAAATTGTACAGGGTCAAAAGACCAAGTACATCAGCCAGCCTACCCAACTAAAGAGTAATAGCTATCTGTAGAAAACACGAAAGTGGAAGTCCTGATCCACTGCCGAAGCCCAATTCTTTTGGGTACCAACTAGTCACGGCCTCAGGAACAGAATGCAGAACAGCATCTACTACCAGCACTGCACAAACAAGAACTTGTTGGAAGATAGCCTGATTTCCAGCTATCTATACAAAAGTAGCAAATACTAAAAATATTTTTACTATGTCAGAGAAAGAATATTCGTTCTCCAGTGTTGACTCATCCAACTAAGTTCCATAGCTAAAGAGTAATATCCCTTTAGAATTCTATTTTTAAGTTTTTGATAATAAACGGGCTTGAGTATTTTTGGGGTGTTACCATCTGTAACGGGTGTTGTAGTAATCTGTCCCTGGCCCCCGGGTTGCTTTTTTTTTTTTTTCACCCTTATCCAGATTCAACAATCAAACTGACCCACACGTATTGTTAATTATCTTTTGTTTGATTTGTGCAAGACAACTAACAGAAAAAAACGAATATTTTATTCGGGTCTTGAGATATTGATTGATCAAAAAAGCGATTTTGGACCCAAAATCGTACTATTTACTTGCATGGTAAAATATTTAAATGATTAGAAAAAAAAAAAAAAACAATTTTGCACCCTCGTACTTCACCTGTCGTAGCATGCAAATCCTCTTGCTTTCACGGGATTACTTTATGTCATCTGGATCAGTGGATGGGGATAGAACATTTAAGGACCCGCAAAAAAAAAAAAAAAAGGAAATATCACAACTTGTTTAGTAATCTGATTCTGCTGTATATCATCTAAATCTCACGAATCAGTGTGTGCTCCGCCTAATTCACAACAAATCCATAATAGTTAAAAAAATATTAGTACTTGGCAGTAAAAGGGCAGGGCTTGATTGGTTTTCTGGATTTGTTTTTCTTGGGTCAGAGTCCATGCTACTCAATTGCACAGGTGGTGGTGTCGTGCACCATGAGATGGAAGTCTATCTCTCTAGTTAAGCAGCTAATGGTACTATAATACCGCTCATTTAATCTTTGGTTGGATGAATTACACCTGCCTAATTGCAGAATTATTAATATTATTGGAAGTTTTTAACTTCACCAAAAAGACTACACATGATTACGTAAAGACCGTCCCTTGCTTCTTTCTTTTTTTTTTTTTTTGGTGAGTGTGTGTGTGTGTGTTTTATTATTATTTTTTTTTATATGTTTTTCAATGCCTCGAGCTTTGGCTGTGGAGATTTCGTGCACTTTTTTTTTTAAAGCAAGGTTTTCGGCATCAAGCCCTAGAAAAAGGGAGAGTGGAATTTGCGAGGATTATTTACTTCCCTTGCTTGGACATGTTAAACTCTATTAAACATTTATTCTTGTTCTCGAAATCAAATTCTTTTTAAGTAGTCAAAGCCATGTACTGAATTCTTCTAAAAATTAGAAGAAAAAAAAAAAGGGAAAGAAAAGGAGCCCTGAATTGAAGATTGACTTGTTCTAGCATGCAAAGTCGATGGAAAAAACTTCGTCACTCTTACTTCAGAAATTATATAACTGTGATGTGATTATTCTGCACCCGTACCTACATCAGATTGATCACAGCTTCACCACTCACGAGTGAGCATTTTCTTGTGACATGAAGTTCAAAAAAAAAAATCAAACGACCTATAACAAGTTATAGCATGTTTTTACTTTTCAGTTTCAAGTTTTCAGAAAGGCAAAGGAAGTAGCTTCAGGAAACTGGAAGTTTCTGTGACTAGTACAAAACAATAGTATATATTAGTACTGTGATCACTATTGCTTTTCGGATTAGCATGTCGCTCACCTGTTCTCTGTATCTTGATCAACATCCGAACTTTCGTACTTTTTCCCCCTCTAAGAGAGATCAAGCCAATGCATTTTCAAGTTTTGCTGTCCGCTTTTAAACGGGCATCGAAAGTACAGTATTTCTTGCAGTCACTTTTTCTATCTTTGAGTATGTTAAACATGGCAAAAGGCATATAATTACCAAGCAAAAGGACACGATCATCTTCTTTATCTATTAGTAGTACCTTTTGACCTTTTGCACTCCACTAGAAAAGACATGCCTAGAGAACCACTTTCCCCAGTGGCCGAAGCCGAGCCAAGCATATTTTATAGCTGGCAGTCCCAATAATTTACTCTTGTCTTGTGTAGAAGCAAACAAATATGGTGAAGAGGTCAATGCATTGATTTTGCAGGAGGCATCAACTATCATGCATGGAGATCGTACATTTTTGCAGGCAGCCCAAGTTGGACTTGTTTATCACGTATTGATTTTTCATGTTGCCACTAAAATGCCTAAACCCCACAAGTCCTAATCATACAGTAATAGATGATGGGAACATGGCTCACATGTATAATATTTGTAACTTTTGGTTAATTCTAATATTACACGACTTCCCCTCGCAGTCCAGTTACATTAGTTAATGTTTAATCCATTCACAAAACAGGCATCTTAATCTGTGGCAACAAGTATACTTCATGTACGCATAGAAAAAGGAAAAAACTGCAAAGAAAAGAGTTTCTTGGGAAACCTCTCAATTCTAGTTTTGAAAAATGGTACGTGAATTGACCGAGGTTGGCTTGGGATGTCAATAATTCATCACAGACTTGTTAATCACTTCATAACTGATTCTTTGAAGTATACTAAGGATTTCCGACAGGGGTGAGATTAGTCACAAGATTATGGAATTAATAACTCTAAAAGCCCAGAAAAAGTCCAAGAATCTCGCACTGAGCTTGACCAGTTTTATAGGGGGAAAAAAAGAAGTTAAACCAATAATTAAATTATTCTCTCGGTGAAGGATTCATTGTGCATGTTTAGCATCGAAGTAGTTTGATTCTTGAAGAATGATGCCATTTCCAGTTTTCATGAAATTAAATAACTTTGGATCAGCTAAAGACAGCAATAACACGTCGATCGATCATTTCCCGGAAAACAAAATGGACATGGGGACTTTCATCACTAACTATGTACTGTCAAAAAAGGTGTACATTTTCATCGAAATACACAAAAGTCCTAACCCCCACGAATGGAGAAGCCTACTAAAGACTACTTCGAATCAACACCATCCGTGATTCATGATCCATCCCTTCAAAACCTTCTGACTGTACCTGCAACAGTCGGCATCAGTTGTAGTATGCCACCTTTTCATCTGTCTTGTTTTCATCAACGAAGAAGTTGTTGCAGAGATTGGTGCTAATCAGTTGTTTAATCTCTTCAAGACTATAATCCAGTGGATTTTCACTATATGGCTTCTGATCATCAGCGTATTCAATAGTGACGTCACTGTTGATCATAATCTTCTGATTTTCATGATCAACACCAGTGCTGCAGAGATAGTTTTGTAAATCATGCTCTACCTCTTTGCCGTAGCTGTTCTGATTTGTGGAGCTGCCATCTGAAGAACTACAGCTAGCTTCACCTCCGAACCTTAGGAGACTACTGTCTTGAACTAGGTAACTGTGCATGGAACCACCCATATGTTGAACTTCTTGAAAACCGGTACTTGTTGAAGAACAATTAGCGTTCAACAGACTTGGCGGGGTTGATGAAAAAGTTTCATAGCCTGAGAGGGACCTAAATTGGGTGGTGGTATGATAATTGTGATATACTGATGATATTGATGGTGATGGAGCTGAAAATGGTGATGATGTTATAGATGCAGGCTCAAACCCCGAATATGGTGATGCGTAGGGGCTGGGTTGATGGCATTTTTTGTGAGATCCCATTATTTTCTTTTTCAGCTTGGTGTTCCAGTAGTTCTTGATGTCATTGTCCGTCCTGCCTGGTAATTGAGCTGCTATTATTGACCACCTGCACCATTGTATTTGCAATATGGGATCAAATTGGAAAGGACTGTCCGAGCAGGAACTTTAACCTACTTCTTCACTTCTTTCATTGATACAACATAGGTTCAAGGAAAAGGGGAAAAAAAAATTTTGGGGGGGGGGGGGTGGGGTGGTAGTGCAAATAATTAAAATCATACAGAACATATGAATATGGGCAAGATCTGGAGGAAAAATAGTAAAAAACAAGGCAAAGGCTGGTGATTGTACCTGCTACCAATGCTCGCAAAGAGGCTGCAAATTATCCTATCCTCATCATCTGTGAAGTCTCCATGTTTAATGTTGGGCCTGAGGTAGTTAAGCCATCTCAATCTGCAACTCTTTCCGCATCTTCTAAGCCCTGATCATAATTATGCCAAGAAGAAGACTCATTCATTGGCACCAACTGCTGGCAAACCATAACAAATACTAGTGTTGTAACACGGAAATTCATAAGTGGGCTTACCAGCCTTCTGTGGAAGAGCTATCCAATTCCCTCCAGTCCCTGACTTTTCTATGTACTCCTTCAGCTTTGCATCTTCTTCAGGGGACCAAGGTCCTTTCTTCACATTCGCCTTGTCACAGCAAGGAGCTCTTCCCATCTCTCTCTGGTGGTTATACTCTGTGCCTGTTTCTGCTTCTCTCTATCCAGGCTTCTTTCAAGATATAGTGCTTTTGAAACGCTCGAGTATGTGAGTGCGTGTGGATTAATTTCTTTGCTTTGGATGACCTTATTTGGACAGCGAGCATATATATTATATTTACCCGGGGGGAGCTACTGAAGTCAAACAACAGACTCGAGATTTCAATTATCACTTGTCTAACTCGCTATTCCGTCATTAGCCGGGACAAAACTTTCTATCATTTAACAAATGCCACCCAGCAGCGACTGAAGCCCCCCCGTCTATTTCTATATCCCTGCCCTTCCTCGGTCTTCCTCTGCCCCAAAGAATCCAAAGCCTGCTTTCTCAATTTATTATGCCACCCAATTCACGAAAATTGCCCCCGCAAATGATTGGTCCAACCGTCATATTTTACTTGGCTGTATATTGGCCAAGTCAGAAGCTTGCCTTCATAAAATTAAACCTTCAAGTAAGAGGATGTATATCAATTACTAGTACCACTGGGCCAATGGTTCAGTGGCCACCAGGGAAGGATTAAGTCCCTCATTGGGCTGTTGGTGAGGGTTCAAAATTTATCAGTAGCGAAAAAAATCTAAGAGTTGTGCCATAACACTCTTTTGGTCTAGTTGGGTCTGTATACCCATTAGTCCCTACAACAGCTTCCTTAGGTTCCCCCTCCCCTAGATTAGGATAGAGTAGGTTATACACATGTATCGTTGCTGTAAGAGGGTTCATAAAGAAATTACATTTTCATTGCTGTTCATGTTCACGAAGTCATATCGAGATATGCGTGAATATAAATAAGGGTTAAAAGCATTAAATCTTCAAACTTTACTCTCAATTTCACTTTACCTCGTTAACTTAATAAATAGCCACATTACCCCGACTTTATGTTTTAGGACAAGAGTGCCCTTCCATATTAATTATTATTTTATTTCTTTTTTTCCTTCTTTTTTTTGCCCTTTTTGTGCTTGTCTTTTTTCTTTATATTTTTTAAAATTTTCTCCCTTTTCTCATGTAATCAACTACTGTCGTCTCTTTACTATTATTATCTGTATATTAATTTCAATCTTCTTAAATTTATTCTTTATCTATTTCTATCTTTTTTGACCTTTTGTTATTAGAAGTAATAATGATCATAAAATCTATGCGATAACAAAGTATATATTATCTATGCTCATAGACTATTTCATATGTTACTTAAATCGATACGTCTAGAGTTTAGAATAAAATAATTTTGACTAACAACAGTAACAAATATAAATCATAATAACATGGTGGTTAATCAACTATACATTATATTAGTTACTTTATTTTTGGAGAGATACTTTTAAATATTAAGTAATTTAAAGTTCTAGTTTGCCAATATCTTTTTGAAACAATCAAATAGCTAGTAATATACACTATTTGATCATGACAGGCATATATACTAGCTGTTTATGCAGTACAACTAATAGGAAAGTGAAACAAAACAGTGACACGAGAGAAGAAAAAAATAGTAAAAAAAGAAAAAAAAATTAAAGAAAGTAATAAAAAAGAAAAAACAAAGAAATGAATAAATAAAAAAGAAACAAAATAAAATAGTAAGGATGCTTTTGTCATAAAATATCAAACGAGGAGGCAAAGTGCTTATTTAACGACTTCAGGCGGGCCAAAGCGCAACCAAAGATTAAATTCAAGAAGGTTTAGCGCATTTAACCCTATAAATAATTTGGTGTATTTGACATGCGTATTGTAACATTATTATTAATATATTTATTAGGAAGACCGGATGTACTGTGCAGACCAAGACCAATGACCGACCGGTAAACAAGAGATGCAATTAAATTGTCTTCCTATCCTCTATTTTATGTATGCTTCCACTCTTCATGCACAAAAATTGTAAAATTCGTCCACATCCCTGAATATTATACTATTTGTTTGACTTTTATACTACTAGTATTTGATTCCAGCTGAACTTTAACCAGGTAACGTGTCAAGGTTGTAATCGAATCTTTCTGCCTTGTGCAACCCCAAAAAATCAAATCACTGAATAATATGAGGAAGCTCTTGAAGTTGAAGAAAAACCTTAATAAAAATTTTTCAAATTTTTTGTACTTTGTAAGTATTAGAATTCGGGCTATCATCAGTAGCCGTATCTTCTTAATGAACTGGTAGAGTCAGGTGATCAAACCATCCTTATTTCTCCCATCGCAGAATTCGTGTAAGTTGGATTTCGTGTAAGTTGGATTTTTCAAATCTGACCCAGCCACCTGGTTTCGGCCACTAATCTGCTAAAAGAATTGGTTTCAACTTCCTACTTATGTTTGATCACATTTTTCTCAAAATTTTGATTCACAACTTCACTTCACTTGCCTTTTTTGCTTCCGGAAATTTTTCCAACTCCGAAGAACTTGATGAGAAAAATTTTCAGTTGGCATTAGGTGTTAAATTGAAATGATCACGAGTTTTGGTTTCAAAGTGAAATGTTGGCCACAGAGAACGGTTCTAGTGTAATATTCGTTCTACTTAATGACTTAATTGGTGGGAAAAACAGCTGACTTGGAACATTTTGCACGTCATTTTGGCTCAAAAAGTTCGTAGTTGAACCCTCCGCTGCTTACTAATTATTTGGACTGCAGAAGCAACCAAAAAAAAAGGGCTATAATAATTATTCTAAATAATAATCTACTGGCCAAACACATTAGCTACTAATTTTGCGCGTAGCGTGTAGTAAAAAAACATTCACACTTTGCCTCTTCTTGGTCAAAGGCATAACTAAAGAAACTTAACCAATAAAGTTGAATCGTAATTATTCAAATTAAAATGGGTCAAATTTTTTAACCTTTTCCACCCCTTCCTACACCTTTCCCACCCCATCTGTTGGACACAAAATTAAAACCCTGAACCCGACGGCAAAGAAGACTTTAAGATCCCTTTCTTGTCTATTGGGCAATTCCAATGGTTAAAATGGGTCAACTTATTTCATGGCTAAGCATCAACCCAATTGGATAAAAGCATGAATCATATGCCTTTAAATTTATTCTGGAAGCTGTAAGTATCTGACTTCACCATATTTGAAATGGTTGGCGCTTGATATGGGAATAGACGAAGCGTATATACACGAAGTGAATATTTGTGTAGTAAGTAGCAAGTCATCTATACATGGGACACCAGCGTTTCCTCCATTTCTTTTAAGGAAGGTTTGCATCAAATGGGAAAGCAAAAATGGAAGTTGTAAGGAACTATTAGGCACACAAACTAGACAAATGGACTGGACCAATTACTTACCAAAAAAAATAAAGGACATAGGACCAATTCACAGGCTCAAAGGGACCATCATTTTTCTGTACCTTTACATAAAACAAGACTAATAGATAAAGAAATAGAAGGTAATTTGGAATCGAGAATTTATCTATATGCAAAAGAACTCCATAATTGCCTGCATAAATCACTTTTAGGTAAACTCTGAAGCCGACCGTGGTCCTACACTAATCTTAAACCATTCATAGGTTACGAGCAAAGTACGATTCTCTCCTTTTTTTTTTTTTTTTTTTTATCAATTGTCATCATCTACATCTATCCCGAACAAATTACGACCCGGATAATGCAAACTTAAGATAGAAGAAAGACCCCATCTACGGTCATTGTTGTAATTAATACTCATATATTTTTGTTAAGGTCATTATGGTTGTGAATTGGTCCCTTGTGCGCACTATTTTCTTTCCTTTTCCTGTTTGCCATTGACCTCGACTTGTTTCCTGTGACCACACCAAAGGCGAGTCTTTAATTTGGAACCTTGAAGGAGAGGAAAATGGTTCCCCGATATTATTTTTTTTTTGGTAACCAGAGACCTCATCCACACTAAAACGTCACGTCTTATAAGAAAATTTTATTTCCATCCCAATCAACTATTGAACATGTTTAGTAATCGATTCAAAATCAGCGAAAAAAGTTTTATTTGAACATACAAAGTCATTTAGACATATCCCAATTGAATTCTACTCTGTGTGCTCAAATGGAGTTCTCTTGCTAGTTTTGAACTGACCGTTCCAAGTAGTAATTGATAGCAATTGGTAGGAAGCCCCAAATAAAATTTCTCGTCCATGCGTAGACTCAACAAACGGGAGTACTACGTTGTTTTGTTATTAATCTCTTCTTGTCGTCAATGACTCAATTCATTTCACCGGATTCCATTGCAGTCAAGATGCTTCGGGAAGAAGAAACATTTATTAATTATTTTTCCTTCGTAATGATATTTTAATTAAAACGGGATATACATAGGTGATCATTGAAGTCTTGTGCGCAATGTTAGTTGTCCTATCATTCTAACACCTGGGAGATAATAGTGTGATCAGCAGCATTAACTGCTTGTATGATGGCAAACACAACGAATTGTAGATTTTGGGGAAAAAAAAAAAACCTCCATTAACTTGACGACGAATAATTAGGTGTCCAATTTGATTTTGTCTAAAAGGTTTGAACATAAATGATCATCAACTACGTCAAATCTACGTTGATGAGCTACAGATAGACGATGATGGGCTCTGTAGCGTGTACTTCATTACGACATTTAGAAGGAAAAAAAAAAAAAAGAATTAGACCTTTCATTACTCTATTTAAAGAGAACAACCACCAAAATTCACTGGCATTTCAAACTGTACCCCTCCTCGTGTCTAATCAAAAGAAGTTTATGAAAGATCAACGTTGAGAAAGTGTTTTATTTTTATTTTTTTCAAGAAAAAGAAGAATAAGAAGAAGAGGCTACCATAGGGTGGTTGAATTTCCCTAACCACCATGTAGTAGTCGTTGCCAATGATTAAGATGGCCATGGCTTCATTTTAATACGGTATGCGATTGACACGCATACTAATATATGTTGCCTTACCTAACTACTATATTGCGTGTTACTCTTAACATTATTCGTCCTTTTGGGTTTAATTGTGTACCAAACTTTGTTGATAACGGATTGGTATAGTGATAGTTTGATTTCTCTTTTTTATTTTTTGAAAATGTATTACTACATAGTGCAACTTTTGACAAACGAGTCGAACCCTCTATCCTTGTGCACGCATAAGAATCCAATTCTTTCAAATCCACAACATTAAATTGTTGTAATAGCTCCATCACGACCGATTAGCCTGGCATATTCTTAGGTGTAGCAATGCATCAATCTGGTCGTTCACAGCAGGACGGGACCAAGTGGGATCAATATATAATTCAATAATTGGGTATACACGTTAGCAGTGCCAGCTGCATGGAACGGATAATCTTTCCTGCAAGTCAACCACACACACATAAACTAGCTTAAGCATATGAAGTGAGCACTTAGGACCCTCTTAATTATCCCATGAGATGTTGGTTCCTATAATATGTTAAAAAAAGAAAGAAAAGAAAGAAAGTTGCATGGACTATATGATGAAATTGTATTGTCATTCTTGTTATGTCCAAATTTCTCTCTGTGTGATCCCTAAATGTACGTAACTGATCAGGATCTAAAGAACTGTTCTAGCTGAAAAGGAAACTTGTTACTCAATTCCAATAATTTAAAGGACCTACACATAGATAGATACTGCTCCACGTAGGGAGAAAGGAGAAGAAACAACATATATATGAAATGGACTGGTCCAAGACATGGTTGTTGAATGATGTAAAAATATACGGAAACAACTTGGGTATTAAAAGGTTAAGAAGGACAGGAAAACTTCCCTTTTGCATGCTCATACTGAGCAGTGAGGTGGATGGCGGTGTCCCAAATCCTCCATAAATTGAGTGAACAAGCAAGCAAAGTGAAAGCTATAGTAAAGAGATGAGATGGGGTGCATGCATGCATGCAAATCATGATCTTTAGTCAGCCAATTAAGCACCTCATACGTATACATGCAAAATGCATGCCTAATTTTTATTCGCTCTATTCATATATTAATTCTATGTTAATTGGGTATATATGATTGCGTTATCCAACTGGAAGTAATTCAGAACAATGAACGTCCCTACCCAATTATGTATCTTTGATGACCGTTCAAATTTACTTCATATAGGCAATTAGGTATAGGGATTAAAGTCCATGGTTAAGTGTGTGCCTTGACTGGGGGCACTCACTTTTCAAAGATGTAGCAAAACTATGAGGAAAACTGAACCAGATCCAGCCTTTCTAAATTATAAAAGCCTAGAAAGAAGATTCCACACGAAAACAGCCCACGCTCACTGTGCAAGCTCCTCATATGTCACATTTACTCCTCCTCCTCTTGCCTGGAAACTTCGTCAGACAACTGATGAAACATGCGGCAGTGGAATACTGCGCAGGACTATCTCTTAGTTTGCACTTTAGAGGTGGTTTGGGAGATTAGGAAAACATAAGTTGTGATCAGAGAAGGAGGAGGGTGGGGAGGTGGGGGGGAAAAAGAGAAGAGAAGAGAATGGATATTTGTGATGTTTTTTGGGAATTTTGGAAATTAACAAGTGCAATGATCTTGGATACGTTAGTTTTTTTCAAGGGCTTATTAATAACATGAAGGGTATTTTCAAACGAGTCAGCCAGCTTCCTGCAGCTTTCCTGATTTCTTTCCCACCTAATTTGGGTGGAAAAATTGTGCCCACTGCGGCGGTACTAATACTATCCATCCCTCCAGTCATTCCATTTCTTTTCTTTTCTACGCTACCGAAAACTGCCAAACAAAGAAAGACTGGCTTTCTTTTCTGCCCAAATCTCCTAAATCCCAAACTAGGGCTTGCACTTTTATTTGGGATATTTTACATCCTAAAGTCATTATTATTGTCAAATTGCACCTTAAAATTTTCATTTTAAAGTAACGGTTAATTTGCAGTTTACAGTACTGATCCAGAGTTACCAATTTATTCCAGATCACTACGATCTCGTACGTATACATACTCAGCACTCTCATTTCTGAATGTTGAAAGTGAGCATCAGCCCCTGATGTAATTCCAGAAGCAGACGAGTTCTACGGTACCTATGCAGTTAATGCGTGTGCACATACGTAAACTCCATATTGGCTAAGACTAGGTTATTAAAAGTAGTTTACTTATAGATGATACTTTGACTTGAGTACTGCAATTTCCTCCATATTAATAAATTGTCTTCTTGCTCAATTTTCCGACATTTCTTGATTATGCATGTTTTTCAAATTGATCTGCAACTACAAATGCTTCCTCGGTTGACTTTTATTCCCTCACCCGCTTTTGTGGGGTCCTGTCAGCTTTTGTTCTTGTTTGGGGGAGGGGGGTTGGGTTTGTGGGCTCCGTTTGGATTAGATGTTTTTTTATTTTTTTTAAAATATTTTATTGTAATAATGTATATGAAAATTTTTTATTATAGATTTTTTTGTGATGTTTTTGAAATATATTTTGAGATATTTTCAAGTTTAAAAATTTTTTAGTATATTTTTAAAATTTTAACATTAGCACTCACCACCGCCACCTCCCCCTTCTTTCTCCTCCCCTCCTTCTCCTTCATCCTCTGTTTTCCTCCTTTCCTTCCTTTTCTCGCCACAACCCCGCCCCTCCCTTCCCCGATCTAGTTGAGGACAGTTCGGGGAGCGGAAGGGGGAAGTGTCGGGAGGTTGTAGAGAGAAAGGGGAGGGAAAGGAGAAGGGGGGGGAGGGAGGAGAAGAGGCGGAAAAAGAGAGTGGGAGAGGAAAGAGGAGGAGGGAAGGGGTGGTTGGTGGGAGTAATAGATAGAAGAAGAAAATGATGTACGTTTAATTTTTTAATTTATTTTGTATAGTTAGAGTTGGTTTTTATATACCGTATAGATATAGTGTTTTTAGAGTTGTTTTTGTTTATATATTACTGTAGTATTGTATATGAAAAATTTATTGTTCAAAATATGGGAAATCCAAACAGAGTTTAACGGAGAAAATTTTAAGTTCTAGTGCAATTAATTAAGTGCAGCCAAATGGGTGTTGGGCAATTCTTGGATGACATGTAAACGACGACAACAGGGAAAGAGGTCAATGGCACTATACTAAAATAGCTCGGTGAAGTTTCCGTTTTTCTTGTGTAACCATACATTTAGGCAATTTTACTTGCACAAGTAAGAGATGCCATTTGTTCAGCTGCGGTGAGAGATATCATCGCGGTCAAATAATCCGTCAAGAATATTTGTTGCACGCAAGGAACGAATCTTTGGCTTCGATGACTCAGGTTGATTTTGGTAATATTTCCTTTGATTTTCTTCTAAACGTTTTTCTGTGATTTTTCTGCCAAAAAAAATAAAAAATAGTAAAAAAAATTAAATGATCAGACCACCACTAAGAATGTCGATTGTCGAATGAGTAGTAGCTTGAAGCAAATTGCTAGAACATAGACTACAGTTGATGAGTTGCAAATCCAAATCTCTCTGATAAGGGCCAACCCTGAAGATATAAGGCTGCTGCAGACGGCACTATAGCCCAAACCCCAGATAAGTAAAGAAAATTAGTGTTGGTCTAAATAGGTGAGATTAGAAGTGGCAAAATGGATATATGGTTGATAAATGGTTTTAGTTAAATGGATAGTGGATCAAATTGATCCAATCCAATTAAAACCATTTAATAAATGGATCTAAATGGATGTCATTTAAATGGATAGTGTAAACCATGATCCATCCATTTATCCATTTACTCTCCCAAATCCTAAATTTAAGATCCAAATGTTTTTTTCCAAAAAATACACAGATCCCCAAAGTTCTATCCTTAAATCACCTAAAACCTTTTGGTAATAACAAATGCTTGTACTACTACTCTATTTCAGTACTTCATAAAATTAGTTTAGTTCCAAGAAAATTTAACTGTTGTGGTCAATTTAACCTTTCGTCATTACTTTAAGTATCATTTTGTAAAGTAATGAACAAAGAACTTGGCTACATTTTTATAACTTTTGAATGAATTGAATACGGCTTTACAGTGAAAAGAAGTTTATGTTTCCAATTTTTTGCACTCCTGTTCAAGAGTGATGTCTAAAATAAAAGTGGAGTTTTAACAAGAAATCTTATGTTATTTGACAAGTAAAATATTTTCATAACATGTGCACGTAGTACCTAAAAATGTATGAAACTCCTTATTATACCATTGATATACAAGCTACCTTATATTACTTAATAAATTAGGTGCCTTTTTTTTTGGATAGTTGGGTTAGGTGATAAGGGGAGATGGATTGCAAGTATGAGGATTTGGAAAAAAAAAAAGTTGTCATTTACATATCTTAACCAATGTCGTGGGGACACTCGTTAGAAAACTTCTTTTTATAAATAAAAGAATTTAAAAAATAAAAATTATTTTGACACTGCATGATGCATTCTCGCTTTTTCTTTACTTCAGAATATAAATGTTTGCAATCATTACTACATGAGAGTTTAATTAAAAAAAAAACAAGAGTAGAGACTAAAATATAATTTTGAAAAGGATGGAAGAAGTCTAGGAACTAGAAGCAAATAAAATGCAATTAATGTTATTGGCAACTTGGCATGTGAGGAAGTTATGAAGGAAAGAATAGGTGGTCCCACAAAATTAATTTGACATATGAGGAAGTTATGAAGAAAAGAATAGATGATCCCACCAGATTTTATCTCACATTTTTATAAATGTGTTTTCTATTTTTTAAGTTAAATGGATGTATATGGATAAGATGGATAATTCATTTAAATCCACCAACATAATTGAATTTAAATGGTTATCCATTTAAAACCATTGAATTTATATGGATCATCCAAATCCATTTAAGGTTGGTTTATATGGATGGATTGGTGGATATGAATCCATTTTGCCACTTCTAGGTGAGATAGCTTCTGGGCTCCATCATCTCCTTCAAACTATTATGGGCCCTTTCCTTTCCACCCTTAAGCCCATAGTCCAAAAAATAAATGCAATCAAGAAAAGAAACCGATTTGAGTCTGGCTTTGCAGGCAGGCAGAGAGCTGATTTGATTCCATGACATGACGAGGATTAGGGAGCAGAGCGCCCTCCTGCTACAGCTTTCTGCCAGTGTAGCGCTTATTCATCCAGAAGGGCAGAAAGATAATGCCTTTTGGTTCCTACTACAGCTTACTACGAGACAAGAGGGGTCCTTGATTCCTTAAATGTTACTACTAATTCCTAACTAGTGCTAGTAGTGGTAACCCAAAAGGCTTCAATTTCCAATGCTGCAAAAATCCGTTTTTCGGGATTCACTTGCCGGTTCTCTATGCTAGCAATGTCTGCACTGTGTAGCCGCTTTCCCCCAGTCTTCCATTCCCTCACTTCCTATAAACTTTCATCCCTTCCCTACCACAACTACCTCCCCGCTTATCCCCACCGGAACCGCTTGAGAACTTGGGCCTCTGTATCCAAGAAACCCAGGTTTCATTTTCTTCCTTTATCCGTGATTTAACCCTTTTGAACTCTTGTGCTTGCTCAGATTTTGGTGCTTGGGATTGGTTATTTGTGTGGAAAAATCTGAATCTTTTTTGGTGGTGAATTAGGGGCAGCAGAAGGGCGAAAAGCAATGAGGATCTTTACAACGATATTAGAGAATTCTTATCCGCTGTTGGCCTCCCTTACGATCATGTTCCCTCCATGAAACAGCTCTCAGAGCATGGAAGGTATATGCTTCTCTGTATCACTACTATTCTTTTTTCTTGGTTATTAATATTTAGTTGCTTCAGTTTTGCTTTCGTTTTTCGTGGTAGCATTTTCTACTAGACAAGTCTCGATCATTCCATGTTCGTGGCATTGGCGATTAACGTGTATTTCTTTAAAGATTCTCTTTTATTGGCAGCTGTCATACTACCATTTTCATTTTCTGGGGTGTCTTATTATTGTATTTTTATTGGGATAGAGTTCTCACATACAGTCAATTGAATAATTTTTTTAATTTCTGTACATGATTCTGATAAGAAAGGATGGCAAGAAGACCTGTCAACATTGAGGGATTGCAAATCCACTTCCAGGCCTGGCACCCTTCCCCGCCCCAACAATATCTATATAAAAAAAAATGGAGAAATGGGAATTGAAGTCAGGCTGATTATGAGCTTTAGGCTATGTTGGTTATTATTAAGGAGTGGATCTTAGAAAATCATTGAAGCTGTGATAAAGAGGTTGAATTCTTCACGTTGGTTATTAATGAATTTGACACAAAGTAGTGGCTACCACACAATACCATCTATTTTACAACTGCAAGACATGAATGCAAGAGAGTTGCATTTTTTAAAACAAAATTTTCTTTCCACTTCTTTAACAAGTGGCATATCAGAAATACAGCTGCTAGATAGCAAAGGCAAGATAACAATCTGTTTTTGCTTTCAAGTTCTCAGCTTGGTCTGCACAAAAATTGAATTGATTGTGAATTTGAGAAGGGTGCCGGATATTCTCTTTTGAAGTTGAATCGGACAAGAAATGAATGAATTTTGAATGATAGAATCATCATGTGATGTGGTCTTTAGAATGTTTGGAACAAGTCATGTTTTCGCTGATGATAAACAGAAATTAGATATTCAGGAGCAGCTTAATATGGAGAAAACTTTGTGTATGCAATATATTGTCAGTGCATATATTTTCAAAATAAAGAGATTTTTCTGACTATGTTGGCTTTTGTCCTTTCATTATCCCTTTTTTTTCCAGGCAGGACCTTGCAAATATTGTTAGACGAAGAGGATATAAATTTATAAGAGAGCTCCTAACAAGATCAGCAGAAATGCAAATCAACATTTCTATCACAGAGGAAAAATTGACAGGAGGGCAGCATATCCCTAGTGGCGGTGAAGGTATGTCAATGGGAATATATTGATTGTCTCGATATTGAATTCTGTCAACTAATCCAAGTTCTGATATGCAAACTCATACATTGAAACTGTTTCAAAAGGTCATCATGAGAAAGTCAAAGACTCATGTGAGGATACTTCCTTGTTGAGTGAAGCTAACGAAATAAAAGAGCATGAAAAAAGCTTAGTTGAAGATGCTCAAACTAATACAGGGCTCGATTCAGACAAAGATGATTCTTGTAGTCCAGAATCTTCAATTTATCCATTGTTGCAGGACAAGGTGGCCAAATTTATCCAGGATGGAGAATTGGATGACGTTGAAGGTAAAACTTTTCTTTCAAATGACTAATGACCAAAAGGCATGAAAAAATATACTGCTTTTTGAGATTCTTAACTCTTAATTCCTCTTTTGATGCTAAAACATGTGGGCTGAATAATAAAGTGTGCTGGTGATGTGGATGTACTGGTTGCAGGCTAAGTCCAATGTGACTGCTCCCAGTAATTTTTTCAACACATAATTAAAATGTAATCTTCGAAATATGAAAATTCTTGGATAAAGTTTCATTCTGAGTTCTGCTTATGAAAGAGGGTTCTCTAAACTGTTGTTTATCCTGCCTAGCAGAATATTTGAGTAATTTTGCACTTTGATTGACAGACAGTGGATTTGACATTCTGAATGAAAGAACTTCACAAGATTCCACAGCAATTGCTCAATCACCATATGCTATTGAATCAAACTCGATTTCAGTTCTTGGGCAGCAGAATGATCCTGTGCTCAATAGTGCTGATACAGTGAATGGAAACATGGCATCATCCTCTCATCAGGTTGAACACAGAGTAATGGAAACTAGTTCCTCAAGGTTTGCATTTTGTATGATGCTTGAAATTGAAAAATAGACATTTTATTTTCTTTCAATGCTGAATTTATTTTATCTTTGGTGGTTCTTGCTGTTATTTATCTTTGAACTATTTATGATGAATGTTCGTTAGGTATATTTTTCAGTAACAAAATTCTAGCACTAAGTTTTCCCATTCATCAAATTGTTCCAATCCCATGATCTGCAAAGTTGAGCATAAATAAGAGAGATACAGAAAAAATAATGTATAACCTTCTTCTCGTTCTCTTTTACTTTCCCTTTTCTGCATGACTTTTAGGGTTTCTTCCTTCGTCATGTTACTCTTGATGCTTACTCTTCATAACTTTATTCTTTAACTGCTGGCTAAATGAAATGCAAAAGTTGTCTTGAAAACTGTTATTTCCTCTTTCTTTTTGGCCCATAATATACTGCCTGGAAATTGGGTTGTTGAGCAGGATTGAGAGTCATTCAAGTGAAGAGGCGAATATTATTGACTTTAAAGAGGATCAAGAAATTGAGGTCATTATTATCTTTTTCTTGAAATTAGTTCTTTCTAACATAGCAAAAGTGAAATATCTGCAATTACTTAATTTTACTCCCTGGACTTTTTGTTTCATGTTCAACCAGGCCCAAAACTTGGGGAATCAAGCTGAAATTAATCATCTAAAGTTCATTCTGGTAATGCTTTATTTTGCACCTTGTTTTTGCCTATCTAGTTCTGAACTTTGCTTTCCACCTTTTCATTTTCCTTGTGTATATATAATTGAATGAGTAGAGCGTGATTTTTTTCTGCTGTTAGCATCAGAAGGAGTTGGAACTGACCCAGTTGAAGGAAGAGATTGAGAAAGAAAAGGTGATGTTTTTACCTATTAATTAATCACTCCGTAAAAAATCTAGTGTGGCATCTCGTTGATGAAAAAGTCTAAATTGTTGATATTCTGTTGCTTGCTTGGCAAGGGATTAACTACTAAACCTTCTTTCTTGATACACCAAATGTTGGTTGTACTCAGAGGTTGATGGTAGGAGAAAGCAAGTTAATTAGAATGATTATTGGTAACTTTAATACGAGTTTTCTGCCTTCTTGCAAAAGATGAATATTATGTGTGGTTTAGAGAGTTAATTTATCCAATGAACGTTTGTCTGGTCTAATTTCTTTTCATGTTTGCTGTCAGGTTGCTCTGTCTATTTTGCAGACTAAGGCAGACAGAGAGATTATTAAAGCCCAAAAACTTATCCTGGAAAAAGATGCCGAACTGCAGGCTGCTGAAGAGAGCCTTTCAGAACTGAAGGAGGCAAGTTCACTTTTCCCTGTCTTGTGCTTGTCTTCCCACTACTTAAGGACATTGTCATTTGGTGGTTTGTGAAGTCCGGTATGAACTCTACATTGAAGCCCAGATTTCACTGCTAGTGCAATTCCAGTGTCTTCTTTTTCTCTTAAGCTAGTGAAGGCCTATGCAATTTGATATACTTTGACTTGTGTGCATGCTTTGTTTAGCATCTTATAAAGTGCAGTAGCTTAAACATTGAAGCTTTTCCCTTTCTAGTCTTCGTCTGCCATCAAGTGCAATTCTTTTATTTCTTTATCTGGTAGGTTGAAATTCAGTACTGGGGAGAGGGTGAAGTTGTTGAGGTGGCCGGTAGCTTCAATGGTTGGCATCAGAAGATTAAAATGGATTCACAGCCATCTTCCAGCCTCTCAGACCCAAATGGATCACGGTTGACTTAGTTTTTCTGCTTCTAAACCTGGTTTTGGATGTTTTATGTTATGTGCTAGATTTGATGCAATGCTAAAGTTGCTCTATCACTTCATTTTATGGGAGTATACCGTGGCAATGGAAGGAAAAGCTGAATGTGTTAATGAGTGATAAGATGTTGTGATTTAAAGAAAAAAAATAAGGGAAAAAAGTACTAGCAAGTTTTCATGTGTTGTGCCCTCTAACATTTTGCACATCCTTTCTGACATGGTGCATTAAGAGAATCTCTTATCTTCTTAATGGATGGTTGACAGTGGTTTCTTCTTGAATATCCTTTTTGCTTGAAGTAGTGTCAGAAACAAGAATAAGTGATAAAAATGAATTTTGCAGGAAATCTCGACTTTGGAGATCAGTATTGTGGCTTTATCCTGGGGTTTACGAGGTTTGGATTTATATCCTCCAGTATCCAATGGAGATTTCTCTTCTTTTTCATTTGTGAAAAATTGGATAAATGTTGCATTTAAATTGAAATTTAGAAGTGAAATCTAGTCCATCAATGGCTATGCGTTCAAAATTTGGCCCAGAAAGATCAAATGATTAATTATTTTTAATTGAACTTTTTGCTGCTATAATGCTCTTTTAGTCCTCTTGGAATGCTGTTACATAATTGAACTTTGGCATGTTGTTTAAATGGTTTTGTCTTGTCTCCCAACATTTGATTTTCATGTAGATCAAACTTTATGTTGTACAATTCTGTAATAAGTGCAATCAATTAAAAAGCACTTTGAGAGGAATTGCCTCAGAGATATTTTTGTAGTTGTGGTTATGGTATCAGTGTGGGTGAATACAGTAAGAGAAATTTTTGAAATTCAGAAAAAGTGAATAGCGCCGCAGGTGGATTAGCTAATAAAACTTCCCTAAGATCTTCCTTTTGTTGTTTTAGATGATGTACTCAACATATTAAATCTTCTGTTCTAAGTGATACTGAAGTTTTAATCTATCCCAGACTCTATAGTGTCCTTCCTGACAGGTAAACTCAATTAGTGCATGCCATTTTACACTGAGGAAACAAGACGGAAACAACATCCTAAAAATTCAGCCAACTTCGTAAACCTTATTCCAGTTCCTCTAGGATTTTTGTGCTGTTAAATTTGTATACTGAGATTTCCTGTTTATATTGTGGCTTAATTTTTCTTAACTGAATGATATATGTTTTGTGTGTTACACTGTTTCGAATAGTTCTTTTTTAATGTAATAGATTTCGTTTTTGTTTCTTCTTTTATTTATGATGTAGTATTCATGCAGATAAAGTTCATTGTGGATGGCCATTGGACAGTTGATCCTCAGAGGGAGTCAGTTACCAGGGACACCATGCATAACAACATACTTCGAGTTGTTAGATGATAAAAGCAATATACTTTTTTGATGTACATACCTAAGGTATTATCACTTCAGTTATTAATTTGCATATGATTTGTGTTATGGCTAATGTCATTAAGACCATGTGTCTGGGAGCTCATACTTATGGCATCTACTTACAACATGCAAATCATTAGGTCAATGAGGTCTGACAGGCGTACGATAATATACCTGCACACATACGGGTTTTACAAGTGTGTATGCATATGTAATTATGCACAGGGAGCAGGCATGAAGGTGGTGGTTGTGAGACTGATCCTTTCAATAATATCCCCAAAAACCTTTTCTAAAACAGAAGAAAAAGGTCAAAAAAAAGAAAGAAAGAAAGAAAAACTGACCCATGATCTGCCAACCTGAAATTTTGGGACTTACCAGTACATATCATACACCAGGACATGCACCTGTATAGGAAATTCATGTTCTCTGAAATTATGTACATTTTGAAACTTGTTTTAGATTCATTTTTTTGGTTAGATGATGAAAAAGAGATACTGCAAAATAGTTGTTCCAAGCCAATCATCGTTTTGGTTTTGTTTGTCAAACCACTATGTTTAGAATGCAAAGGGAATTTGTTGTAATTTTCAATTTGGAATCAACTGTTGCACTTGTTTGTCTCCTTTTTCTTGTTACCACTTTGTTATCTGTAGTTGCTTTAAATTCATGCAGCATGGCACTACTGGTGAAACGTTTGTTTGTTTTGACCTGCAGAGAATGTCAGGTATCATTTTGGCCCCGCTTGCCACCCAGATTCTGCTGCCCTGCAGTGGATTTCCGCTAAACGTGTAGTAATCATGTGAAATCGGTGCACTTCTGAACTGGATGGATTCAGATTTTGCATTGTAGGAAGGGGGTTCAGATGTCTCTGTAGCTCTGAATTACGTTAGTGCTGCTGCTGCTGAAGAGTACATTTATAATTAAGGTTTGTAGACGGATTAGAACTAGCTGATGAGATTATTCTTTTTAAACACGAAATTAAAAAAAACTTCTGTGAATAAATTTCTGTTTCTTGGTACTCTGTGGCTGAGATTGTATAGCACGAATAAAATTTTGCTTCGTGGCCCTTGTGCCAGTATGATTTCCTGTGCAGCATTTGATTTTTGTCCTGCTTCTAAATATTCCTGGTGTAGGTGCAAACACGACCGGAGATCAACCGTAAAGTTTGGGGAAAATGATCCTGAAAGAAGAATCAGTTGTAAACTACGTGAGAACAGGTTATGCCCAAAAGATCATTTTTAAACTTAGCAGGCTGGAGAAATAAGATATCGAAATTTCTATTATAATTAAACTTCATGCTAAATGTTATGGAGGAGAGGGAGTCTAAAGTGGCTTATGTAGGGATTGAAATTTCGATTATAATTAAATTTCATGCTAAATGTTACAAGGGAAGGAGAGTTTAAAGATGTCATTGGAGATGAGGAAACTAAAGAAGCTTGTGTAAGGTTGGGTCTAGTGATTCATTAGACGAGATAAGTACATTACTGTACTCTCTGAATTTTTAAAAAACAAGAAAAAGGAATTACAACCTTTGATCTAATACAATACACGGGAGAGAAAGAAGCTTTCCTTGACTATTGGATCAAAGGCCAATGGTTTGAGAACCACCACCATCTCGCATTCGATAAATTTATTACAGGGCTGGGTCCATATTTCGGGTCCGCAAATGGGTCATCAATGATTTGTTCGTAAAGAACCACGAAGATGATAGAACCGAAGCATACAATGCAAGTCAATCACCCAAGCTGAGAAAGCACCGTCAGGAGGAGGAGTTGTTGAAACCACGTGCACATGTTTATAGTCTACTATACTCGCATTCGTGTCTCCATTCTTGCCGTTCCCTCTTCTCCCCCCCTCTCTCTGTTACTAACCCAGCACCAGCAGGCAGCAACGGCAGCATAGAAGTTTCCCGTACGCCGTAGGCCCGTAGCGATAAGTCACGTACTACCTTCTCTTAGGATAGTATTCAGAACTGTGCTTCGTTTTTCCACAATGGCAGTGGCTGTGGTGAATGCTGCTGCTTCTTCTCTTGCTTTATCTTCACAATCTCCCGCTTCGTTTCTGCCTTCTGTTCCATTTTTCCTCTTCCCCTTATCTTCCACTTCCTGTCTATATCCCTCTGAATCAAGGAGATATTCCTCGTTTGTAACTTCTAGGAAAAGGGTCCTCTCTGGCCTCCATGTGGCCGCCAATAACCAGATTTCTGAAACTAGTGATGATTCAGTTGAAGATGCAGAAGATTACGAAATGGAGGAGGCCAATACCGAGACTGTCGTTTACTCCTTTTCTCCTGTGCCTTTGCTATTTGTAGCTGCTCTTCCTGGAGGTATGCTTTTGTTACCTACCCTTCCTGAGATCAGGCATTCTACATTTTGAATCTTTGTATGCGCTAGCTGCTGTTAAGAGGTAGAAGAACTATCTTGGTATATTTTTTTTTCCCCAGCAGGGCAAGGGTGAGATTTAAGAGAGGAGATTTGAACCCAGGACTTCCTGAATCCTCAACTTTAGCTACTAAACTATCTTGGTAGTTGGCACTCGGCTGTTCTCTTCTTTCTTGATTCACCAATTTGCTCTATACCCTTCTCATAATGCTAATTGAACTGAAAATTTTCTCGTTATCACTGTATTACACATTGTCCTTGAGAAATCAAAGTTGGAATACAGATTAACCTCCTTTTTGGTGGTTTTGTTTTTTCCCCGGTATGTTGAATTTCTCCTAAAATGGACGTGGTCGATTAGACTCTAGGGGTTTTTTTTTTTTTTTTTCTGGGTCTCTAATCTGAAATTATAGAGTAAGCTTTTCTCAAGAATCATTCCCATGGTTAAGGATCGGATGATTGGTTTATTCTTTACGTCATAAATCAAACAATTGCCGGGAAAGGTGGTTTTAGATTAGAGAATACTGCTCAAAAGAACTGAAACACTTTGGGGTACAGTTTGTCAAGAGGGTCAGTTACACTTATCCGAATCAAGGACTAATGGCAGCAGGGTTGAGTAAAATGCCTGAAAGTGATTGTGTACAATGTTTATGGTTCTTGTGTTCTAGGATAGTTGCAAAACCAAAACTGCATCCCATCAATGTTTAATGGGACTAATCCGACGGAATAGAAGTTGTGATCTTATTTGGCACTTTCAAATTTTAAAACAATCACAAAATCACAAGACAAGTAATTCAACTGTTGGTCTTAAAAGTGTCGAGTAGAAATTTCAGATTTAAACTGAAATTTGTTAGCACAATTATAGAATTTGAGTTAAGACCCATTAATTAGATGATCTTATTATACAACTCAATAAATAAATTATTACTAAAAGAAAAAGGTCACAAATATTAAATAGGTTCAAATGGTGAAATCATATGAATATATACATGAGTTTCAAACAAAATTATTAGTTTTAAACCCCTATTTTTTGAAAAAATGTGAGGGATGAAAAAATTTATTTTGAAAAATATGAAGGATGGAAAATTCATTTTTTGAAATGTGAGGAACAAAACAATTCATTTTATAAAATGTTAGGGATGAAAAAGTTCATTTTGTGAAATGTGAGGGACTATGAATCAGATTATATAAAAATTTGATTTGACAATTTTGCCCTTAAAAATGATCACATTCAAGTCACGTGGTGGATTCCGACAAAAAACTAGTCGGAGACCTAGGTAGGAACCAAATTTGGTCAATGTGAATTTGTAAGGGACGTAAAATTACACTTTTAAAAGTGAGGGACGAAAAAAGTTATCTTGTAAAATGTGAGGAACGTTTTGAACGATTTTTCCTTTATTTTGTGAAATAACATTCTCCCGACAACCGTCGGTTTAAAGAAAACACTTCTGAGCTCCTTCACCTGTGGTCTTTCATTTCACTCTTTCTTTCAAGTTTCAAGAGAATTGCTAATGACTTGACCATCTGAAACTCTCAGCTGCAACCGTAAGGTCTCTTTTTGAACCTTTTGTTGAGCTCGTGAAGTCTTGGAACCTTCCAGACTGGCTCGTGCACTGGGGTCACCCTGGTAATATGGTACATTACTTTTTTCTCCTGCTTCCTCCCTGCATTGTTTTATCATCTATTAGACCAGCAGAGAATCCAACAACAGTAACTAAAGATGAATGAACACTCTGTCCCGAAATTGTTCCTGCCATTTTGTAGGCTGTTGTGCTTTTTGCTATGGGTGGGTATGGAACTTACCTTGGTTTCCGAATCCGAGTGTCTGATGATGTGGTAAGAACAGGAAATTACTGCCTTACTTATTTGTGCTAGTAAATTTTTTCTTCCAACTATAACGTTTGGACAAGTCTAAGATCACCTCGAAAATTTATCAGGAGGAGAAGGCCAAAGCCAAAGACTTGCATCCTAAACTTCTTGGAGGGATGTTTATCTTCTTTGCTCTCGATGCCGCAGGTGGAATAACATCTCTACTCACTTCAGATAAACCTATCTTTGAAAGGTATGCTTGGATTTGAATAGCACAACCTTCTCCCGGACAGCCAGCATCTTGTATGATTTTCTTTCTAAAACAGTGTATTATAGTCGATGTACGTGTGTTTCTTGCAGTCCTCATGCTGTCACAGGTATCATCGGGCTTGCGCTTTTGACTCTGCAGAGTATATTGCCGGCATTATTTGAGGTAACTACTCTATAAAAGCTTTATAGCTTTTCGGTCACGGGAAAAATTTTGATTTTCTTACACTGTCAGCAACTTCTCATCAACAGGGAAATCCTGGATTAAGGAATCTTCATGGAATCCTGGGTAGTGGAATTATGACATTGTTTCTTGTCCATGCTGCACTTGGACTTCAGCTGGGCTTGAGTTATTAGTGCCCTATAAAAACTAACAACATTCCCACCAACAATCTAAATTCACTTTTATTATTATTATTATTATTATTATACATCATATTTCACGAGCACATGTGTAGCTTCTAGCTCTAAAGATTTTTTTTTTTTTTTTTTTTTTTGCTGTTTCTTGAGGTTGATGCTATAATTTTTATATTTTTTTTTTTGGATAGTGTAAGTGTGAGGTTTCAAGTTTGAACCCTCCCATTTATCCAAAAAAAAATGAAAAAAAAAATGAAATGTAGGTAACAATATAAGATGAAGATAACAAGCAAAACATGTAGAACCACCATAATGCAAGCGAGTTTGAAGTGAGCTACGACAAAGATCAATTCATGCTGAGTTTAAAAATGCACCAAAATATTTCTATGATGCAAGTGAAGCATCAAGAAACTTACAAGCGAACTGCATTTGAAAAACAAAATAAAATCATAGATGCAATAATTAGAAAACTTTGTTTAAAAAAAAATCATACATTCTTTACCTAATCTGATCATGTTCATAATTTCATAAATAAGCTGAATTTTCAAGTTGGTGCAGACAAAAAAAAGGGTATCTTTGCCACACCCGGTAAGTGAATTTTCGCCGAGGTGATGCAAAAGAAAAGATGATTAGTGCCAAGTACCAATTTAGGAAATGTTACTGAAAAATGTGGAATTCTAATTTAGGACCGTGCCGTGTTGGAAAAAGTTTAAGAAGGTAACAGAACTATACCACGTTGGATATTGCTGGAGCCACGCGCATCATGTGACAAAAATGTTAAATGTGATTTCTGTGTGCGTACAATGAATATTCATAATAGTTAATCATGAGTTGAACTTGAAACATGAATTACACGTGGGTCTATTTAGGCTGAATACGCAAGTCTTTAATCGGGTTAGTGATGCTGACCATCTTGGAATTTAGTGAAGTGTTTAGCAATAATATCATGTCATTACCATATCAAGTAACGTACGTGAGGGCTGTGCAATAAACCAAAACGAGTTTCTAAAGAGAGGCGAAGGAGAAAAAAAAAATAAAAGAAATGCTTGACAAACCCCCCGCCCCCAACCCCAAAAAAGAAAAGAAAAAAAAAAAAATCCCCCCACTTACATGTCAATTCCAAAAGGTTGTTGAACCATTAGGTGACCCTTCTTCATCCCAATTTTGTTGGTCATTTCTTTTTTCCGACGAAAATGGGACAAAACGGTGATTGAACGTGATATTTTCACACCTACTTATCTTTTGAAATAATTATTACGCGATTCCACCTAAGCAATGTCATCAGTGAAAAGGATTAATACCTAAATATTCCAATGCTATCAAAATAACTCGTGGCCGGTAAGCCACAGATGCAAAAAAAAAAAAAAAGTTTTAAATTAATCCGTTATCCTGCCTAATGTGTTAGTTTTAAGTCTCAACCAAACATATTCACATCTTTGTATATTACATATTAAAATGTGTAAATCTTATATATACTGACAATGTATACACTATTATCGTTGAATTCATGTACACAAATTAAATTTTAAATTCAAATTTTGCATAATTATCATTCATCAAAAACTGACAAACATATTCACATCCTCGTTAGTTCACGTGGTCATTCAAATGCTCATACTCTTTTGCATTGCGTGTATTTGTTGTGATCATTAAAACTGTATACGAATCAGTAACAATTCATTAAAAAGTATATAAATTAAAAATTTTCTAACAATAATAAATCGAATAAGTTCAAAGTACATGAAAAATAATACTAATAAAATATGATCAACACTCAATACATTTTCAAACATCCTCAATTTGCCCGTACTAAGATTTGTCATTCTAAATCTTTTAACATAATTTGGTATATTTAATATTTCTTATATGTATTAATATATTTGACACATAACTCATAAGTATAACACATTAACTTTATATATATATCAAAATATGAATATATTATATATAACTATATATATATAGATGTATATTAAGGATTGGACCTATATCGGATTTGAATTTTATAAAATCCAAACTCAGTTCAGACCTAATACTTAGCCTCATGTTCATCTAACCCTAAAGGTTGAACCACGCCTAATATTTAGGCCCAAGTTCAATGTAACTCCAAATCGATTTTTTTTCCAGGCGAGCAGGTTGAGTTTGGACTGGCCCGACTCATTAACAGTCCTAACTCTGATGGACACCGTAAATATCATCCACTAGCTGTAATTATCTTCTTCTTCCCTTAAAGATTAACGCGTCTGATCCGATTTGACTTCCACACCAGATTCCGCTGCAAGTGCCAAATTTGCAATTTGCATGCGCTCGACTCCACTATTGACTATTGACGACACAGAAAAGTCAAAAAGAGTGACAATTGTGATCGACTTTCTTGGGAAGAAGGGGTGGTAAACAGGTGAGGTAACCTACCAAGAATGCTCAAAGGGGCAGTGACAGAATTGTCAACCATGAAATGGCTCTTACCAACTCGGGTACAGTCATTACAGCATGTAGTACAATCACTATATTGCACAAACCTCGTCTACTACATTATTATTATTTATTATCATTAATTATTTGCTTTTAGTTCAAGGGAATATTTATGGTAAATCTTACCAGGAGGACGAAGAATTATTTTACCAATAATCTACTCTAAATCGGATCTTGGGACAAAATCAAAACATTAAATCCATCAAGATCATTGAAGTCTTCGACAAAAGAGTTTAAGATCAAAGTGTTTTTAATAGGTAGATGATGTGAAATTTTAAGAGATTTATGGACGCATCAAACTAACTAACTTATCTTAAAAAAAAAAATTATTTTAAAGGAAAAAACTCATCTTACACGATAACATCAATAACAATATATTAGTACCTTTTTTTGGTTTGTTTTTCACTCTTAAAAGGTAAAACTCATCCTACCTAACAAGATTAATAACAATACACCATTATCAGCCATCACTATGAAAAATCCCATAAATTTAGACCCTTGTAAAGAAGCAAAACACGGGTGGGTGAAATTTTTGAAAATGAAAAAGGTCAAAACAATGATGACAGCAGAGAAAAGAAATAGAAGGCGGAGTTGAGACTGACAGCGGCGATGATAATTGTCTGAGATTCGGTACACAGAAATGGAGGAGGATCTGAATAATCGCACATTTATTTATTTATTATTTAGACATATCGAAAAGGATTGGTTGGTGCCTGGTGGTTGGGGTATCCAAAAACCCCATTTTGCCCATACCGTTTCCGTATGTGGAAAAAAAAAAACAAAGAAATAGGAGAGGAAGGAGTTCGACCGGGGATATCTCCCGTCCCGCGTTAGGTAAGTTGCGCGGGTAAAATTGTAAAGTAGTAGTAGTAGTAGTTGGTATCTGGCTGGATTGAAAGTATTCCCTCGTTTTCCTTTCCCTCGCTTGGATAAAGAAGAAGAAGAGGAAACTGGAAAGAAAGAGCGAGTCCCCCGGGATCTCCTCGCACTACTATATATATACACAGCCATTGCTCTTCTTTCACTACTCTTCACCGAAGGCGAAAATACCTCTCTTCTCGTCTTCCCTGTACACTCCTCCTCCCTTCCCCCGCTGCTTCTCCCTTCGCCCGCTCCGCTCCTTTGTTGCTTGCAGATCTACAGGTTCTTTTCCCTCCTGCAACTCTCTCTACTTTATTATTTTGTTTAGATCTGGCAACTCTATCATTTGATTGAATGAGATCTGGATCTCTGCCATTGTGATGAATTCTGTTTTTCCATTCATGAGCGTTTTCTCTCTAATGCAGTGTTAATATTCCTTGCCCCGTTCTATGTGTCGTGCTTCTCTTTTCATCGTTTGTCATGGTTTCGACTAATTTCTATGCTGGATTTGGGTCCTGACGTTCTATTTTTGATGATTAGTTATGCCGTCGGGATTACAATGAATCAGTTAATTATCGGATCTTGCCACTGTTGATGACTTCATTCTATGCTATTGTATTCTGATATTTAGTATGTAGATCTTATTGCAGATCTCGTTACCCATCTGGATGTTCTGTCATACAAATGCTTTTTGTACTTGAATATTCTCGTTACGACGATCCAGCGCCATCCCCCACCCCCGCTCTTTTCCTTTTCACATTTGGATCTAAGCGCCATTGAATCGTTAATGTTGTTGAAAGGATAGACCTTTATTTAAGATGGGCTATCCAATTATGTGGCAACAGCAGTAGATATCACGTTGATATTAATGTCGGTAACAACTACAATGTACTAAGGGATCTCTCTCCGTATTTCAAGGGTCACCATGAAATCTGAGGCTGGACGCTCGGATCGATGGAAAATTTAGAGGATTTTTATACTTGTATATGTTACCTGGTGATACTAAAAATAACCCATTTGTTACGAATTTGGCCTTCTTTTATTTACCTATTCCTTAATTTGCCATGTAAAAGTGCCATAGATTGAAAGCATAGTAATGTCGATAATGAGTCATTTATATCATAATGAGCCTGCTATAGTATCCTAAGAAACTCACTGCTACTAATGCTGCTACCAGTCAAATCATGGTGCATAAAAGGAGCTTATGATTCAGTAACTTTGTCAATGGATTGAAAATTTGCTTTAAGTTTTAATACAAACCATAACTGAGGCAGTCTTTTCTTCTGTTCCTTATCAGGCTAGACATGGATACCTTCCTCTTCACCTCAGAGTCCGTCAATGAAGGCCACCCTGACAAGCTCTGTGATCAAGTCTCGGATGCCATTCTTGATGCTTGCCTGGAACAAGACCCGGAGAGCAAAGTTGCCTGCGAAACCTGCACAAAGACTAACATGGTTATGGTCTTTGGTGAAATAACTACCAAGGCTACAGTCAACTATGAGAAGATTGTGCGTGATACTTGCAGGGGTATCGGGTTTACATCAGCTGATGTTGGCCTTGATGCTGACAATTGCAAGGTTCTTGTCAATATTGAACAACAGAGCCCTGACATTGCCCAGGGAGTTCATGGTCATTTGACCAAGAAACCTGAGGAAATAGGAGCTGGT